TTGTTTGGTTCTGGCTGTGTGCTCCACTTCTTTCTGCTGCAGGCGTTAGAGTCAAACCCTTTGTGTCTCTCTGGCAAGATGTTCTGCTCCTGAATCAGCTAGGTGGGTCTTGCCTCTAGCCTCTTTGCAAGGAGTTCTGCTGAAGGGTTCCCTGCTGGGCCTGCAGCCTGGGTCGAATGAGGATCTAGGGGGCCCTGGGTCGTCTCACTCACTCGCCGGGCCTGCGCTCTGGGTCTGTTCAGGATCCTGCGGCCTGGGTCATCTCACTCACTCACCGGGCCTGTGCTCTGGGTCTGTTCAGGATCCTGTGGCCTCCCATTTGTTTTTAAAAGGAATCTTCTCTCCATCTAGGGCACTTCAGTAAAACTTCTTACACACTACCCTTGTAAGCATTCCTAATCTAGCCCTTACCTGTCTCCTTATCTTGTCTGTTGGAGCTATTTTACTCCTGTGACTTATCCCCTGCACTTTAAAAGCTCCATTTTATGACCATTTTGACTTCTAACTCTGCTTTCCCTCCAAGACTCTGGCTTCAGCTTCCCCTTTAATTTATAATCCATTCTTTGAAAAACATCATGTTGCGAACACATTCAGTGCGAGGTTTCATTGCCACAACCAAGATCCAGTGGAGCCCCATTTCCCATGGAAGCAAAAGAACTGCCCAACCACTGCAGTGTGTTTATCCGTTTGGCAGCTTGGTGTCATGTCATGCCCTTTTGCCTAGCAACCCATTACTTACATTGGCTCCGGTGCTTGGTGTTCTCTAGACTGGAACTTCTTGTTTACATGGCTTGACTTGGGCACAATTTATTCTGTAGGCAGCTTTGCTGCAGCCCTGCCCCTGTAATAAATCTCCAGTTTCATCCACTTCCTATAATACATATATGTTATATTTGCATATATGTATTATAAAGAATGGGCATGATACTCAAATATCATTTATCTGTGTGTGTCTGTGTCTAAGTACGGAAAGAATGGGTTAAAATGCAATATTTACAATGTACTTAAAAGATAATGTTTGGACCACCCCATTTGCAGACAGGGAAGGGTGACTAGATTGTTATCATCTGTGTAGGTTCCTTGTAAACATTGATAGCACAGTCTCTGAGGACATGTTCCCAAGGTACTTACATTCCTGAAAATGAAGACGAGCAGGAGGACTGAAGTCTGTATTTCAAGAAATGAATTTCACATAAAATGTTCTTAGATGTCAAAAATGAAAAATTACATGCTTGATTTTATGCTGTGGTACACAAAATTATGTTTTCCCTAACTACTTCATCTCTACCACAAACTACAATGTCAAATATAAGTGTACAAGAAAGGAAAATATGTCTGTGAACTTAAGATAACTAAGCTTAGTCAGAGGTATAACACTGAAAATTTAGGATCATCTTTGATCTTTTAGTTTATTGTCATTATTGTTACTATTTACAAGATCTCTTGTAGTTGGTTGAAAAAAATTAAAGTAATAAAGATGTATAAATAAATCATATAATTTATTGAAATCTTCCCTTTTCCCCACTTTACTTTCCTTCATTTAATTTCTTGCTGTATTTTGTTCCCCTAATATTTCTTTTGTTCAGATATAAAGCTTTCAAAAAAAATGAATATTGGTAGGATTTGCAAATGGATCACATCAAAAAGAAATGTTCATCTTTAAGAATATTCTGTTTTAGAGTAATGGACCATTTACTTTGTTTGAGATATGTCTGCACACATATGTAGAGAAGTGTGATAAAAGAAGCTTAAATGTTAGAGAAAAGCAAAGAAAACTCAAGTCAGGAAATAGCAATGTAAAGGAAAGGCTTTAAACAGTGAGAAACACTACTTCAAGAGAGAGGCCATGAGAGCTGAAACGGTCAGTGATATGGGGTGGGGGCACACAAGTCCTTCAGAGTTTACATCTCTCTATAGCTTGCCCCAGTGCTGGATATGGAACATCAGGGTTTAATGTTTGCTCTGTTTCCTCAGTCTTACTTTAGCCCAATTCTTTTCTATCTCCCTACTTCTCCATTTTGGAATAGGAATGCTTGCCTCGTGCCATTGTATCCCAGCAGTACTTAACTTTCTTTTTCGTTTTAACAAACACTCACAACTGAGTTTGCCACAAGTTTGAGAAGAGTTTGGATATGGACTTTTCACCACTGCTAGAACTGGTGAGACTTTGGCAATTCTTAGCAAGGAACTAAATGTATTTTACATAAAGGGCTGCACATGAGTCTTTCAGTAAACAGGAGAGCAATGCTATGGTTTAGATCTAGAAGTGCCCCAAGAGTCTCCTGCTCTTGTATGTTGGGCTGTTGAAAGGGGAATGAATTAAAGGTGTTAGGAGGAGTGGCCTAGTTAGATGCACTGGAAGTGTGACACAGAAAGACAGATGTCTCTTCCTAGCTCATACCTTTCCTCTCTCCTTCTTTGCCGTCATAACAGAAATAACTTTGCTCTGTGCAGACGCCTTTATCATGGTGTTCTCTGCCTCAGAGCCAGCCAACCATGGTCTGTAACCAGGAAATAGAGTAAACCTCTTCTTTAAACTAAAGGTACTTGGTACTGTGTCTGAAGATGAGAAAGTAACTAAGTTAAGCTGAAGTATAATAATTCTATATACGTATCAAGTGTGTAGTAATAAGTTGATATAATTAAAACTTCCACATCTTTAAATACTTATAATTACTATGTGTTAGAATCCAGCAAACTCATTTCTCCTCATTCTTCATAAAATGTAAAATACATTTTTGTAAACTAAATTTTGTTGTCACCTCACTGTGCCATATGACATTAAATTACTTATCCTAAATGTATCTTGACACTCACAAGGCAGTCCTTTTCTATCCCCTCTTCTCTATCTCTTCTTCAATGAAATCAACTTTCTATAGCTCCCATTGGGCCCAGGGAGGTAGCTCAGGAGAATAAATGCTTGCATGGCAAGCACAGGGTCCTGAGTTCAATCCCCGGTACTGCAATAAATAAATAAATAAATAAATAAATAAATAAATAAATAAATAAAGCAAGCTTCCATATATAGATGACAATATGTACTATTTTTCTTTTCCGGGCTAACTTCATTTACTAGAATGTCCTCTAGTTACATCTGCACTGCTGAAAAGTGCAGAATTTCATTATTTTGTATTGATCAATAATGCATTGATAGACAATTCAGATGATTTTATAACTTGGAAATTATAAATAGTGATTCAGTATACTGATTTGTCTTTGGGCATATTCTTGGTAGTGGGATAGCTAGGTTGAATGGAGGTTCTGTATTTATTTATGTATTTATGTATTTATGTATTTATTTATTTATTTGCAGAACCAGGGATTGAACTCAGGCTCTTGCACTTGCCAGGCAAGTGCTTATTCTACTGAGCTGTCTCCCCAGCCCTGGTAGTTCTGTTTTTAGTTCTTTGAGAAACCTCTATATCATTTTCTATAATGGATACTTTAATTTACAGTCTAGCCAGCAATGTATAAGTGTTTCATCTTCTTCATTTTATTGATTTCATTTGCTTTAGATATACTTGTGCTTTAGTTGTTTTTTCTCATTGATGAGACAAGATAACACCCAAAGTTAAAGGGCAAAAATTCATTTAGATCACAGTTTGTAGAGGTTTCAGTCCATAATTGGCTGGCTCCAAGACAAGGTGACATAGCAGAGAGGCATTGCACAGAAGAGGAACCGTTCATGGCAAACAGAAGGTAGTAAAGCAAGCAAGGGACAAGATAAACCCCTTTCTGTCCCTTATATTGTGTCTAGACTACCAGAATTAAGGTGGTGCCAAACTAATCAGAGAACTGATTTAATAATCACTCACGCTTAATCCTAGCAACCAACCTAGCATTGTACCGCACATCAATCACATACTCTGTATTCAGCTACCTTTGAAAAAGCCCTACCTATGACTGCATGAGGCTTCTGTGGGGAGAGCCATCTAGACACACGCTATAACAACTTGTATCCCCAGTAGCGAGATCATTGGATCTTTTTTCTTTCTTTCAGGGAGAGCACAAACCACTACCACAAATTATGCATTCAAGTTTCCCGTATCTGGGGAAATCACAGGGGTCAACACACCCAGAATGCAATGGATAAATCTTGCCCTGGGAAAACCACCTTCGTAGTTGTGGTATCTCCCCTGCCAAGTAAATATAGCTTATTGGATCTTAGGCTAGTTCTATCTCTAGTTTCTTTGTGGAAATTTCATATTATTTACTATAATACTGTACTAATTTACATTCCTGCCAAGCATGCATGAAAGTTGCTTTTCCACAATATCTTCAGCATTCTTCTTCTTCTTCTTCTTCTTCTTCTTCTTCTTCTTCT